AAAAAAAAAAAGGTATAAACCTTAACCATTTTTCAGTAAGACTTTAAAAGTAATATTCATGGGCGGCACCTGTGTCTCAGCACAGTCCCATGTGCTGAGGGTGGCAGGTTCAAACCCAGTCCTGGCTGAACTGCAACAAAAAAATATCCAGGTGTTGTGGCAGGCACCTGTAGTCCCAGCTACTCAGGAGGCTGAGACAAAAGAATCGTCCAAGCCCAGGAGTTGGAGGTTGCTGTGAGCTGCATGTTGCCATAGCACTCTACCAAGGGCGATAAAGTGAGACTCTTGTCTCTATAAAAAATATTCATTTCCTTTTTCCTCTAGCCCAGAAACAGCTAAGTGATTATTAATTGTTTTACATTTTCTGAGGTTCACATGCAATTTTTAACAGTATCAAGTACTAGCATTTGTACTTATCCTTGGTTTTCCTAGGGTGTGAGGCAGAAATGGTTCTTGTAGGGCCCAGATCGTACTATCCCACAAATTCACTGAAAATATAAACTTCTAATTTCTGCTTACAATTACTGATTCCTGGGCAGAGCCTATGGCTCAAAGGAGTAGGGCGCCGGGCCCATATACTAGAGGTGGCGAATTCAAATCTGGCCCCAGCCAAAAACAGAAAAAAAAAAAAATTACTGATTCCTAATATATTACCTACTTCCACGTATCTTAGCTACTGAAGATTTAGGGAGAAGCAGGCATTTAATTCAATTCAGTCTATAAAAAGAGGTAAGTAAAAAGAAAATACAACTTAAACTTATTAAAGAAAAATGATTTAGAGAAAGTATTAAAGTTTAAACAAGAAAATGTTGCCAATTTTAAAAATCTGTTTTAAAAGTTACAATCAGTTTGTGGGTAAATGCCAGTTAAGAATTTCATTCTTGCCAACTTAGGTGCAATTTCCTAACAGCTAGACTTCTTTCTCATAAGGACTTTTATTAATCACAAACTATATATGTAATCTAGGGTAAATTACCTAATTTCTCTATACATTAACTTCATCATCTGTAAAACAAAGATAGTGCCTACTTCACAGAGCTATTATGAGGATTAAATATACAAAATATTTACCGATGATAGGCTTCACGACGATACTTTTTCAGGGCATGCTTATCCATGTTAGCAGGCATATCTGCTACATTCTGTAAGCGATCGCTCCAGGAGGTTGTCATTTTAATTGTATGGCTGAATTCTAGAAAAGAAAATCAGTGATTTAGCAGCTTAATATTGGCATCTGATATCTGTTAAAAATATTCGAAAAACTCTTGCTTGGAAACTGCCTAATTACCTATTAAAACATATTGAATATGGTAAATATGCTGAAAATTGTACTGATATTTCTAAACTATGTAAATTTAGAAAAATGATTTTATTTCTACCCAGATCTATATAATTCCAAATAATTAAGCACAACTGCCAATAATTACTAACTTTAACCCTAGATTCCAGAAAAGGCACTGAGACTACAGGTTTATGAAAATACATAATTTTAAGTAAATACATGTTTTTAAAATGTGTGTACTAAGCAATTATTATTATTATTTTTTTTTGAGACAGAGTCTCACTATGTGTCCCCTTGGTAGCATGCCATGGTGTCAACAGCTCACAGAAACCTCGAACTCTTGGACTTAAGCAATTCTCTTGCCTTAGCCTCCCAAGTAGCTGGGACTACAGGTGCCCACCACAATGCCCAGCTATTTTTTGTTACAGTTGTCATTGTTGTTTAGCTGGCCCAGGCCGGGTTCAAACCCGCCAGCCTCGGTGCATGTGGCCAGTGCTTTAATCACTGAGCTACGGGTGCTGAGCCCAGGTTTCACTTCTTTTTGAAGCTTTCAATTGTAAATAGCCTTAAATAAGAATGAATAATACCCCTTTAAAGTTTATGAATATTTTATTACTATATCAGTATTTGTAAAAACATCTAAAACCTAACTTATTCCCATTTTGAACATAATTTATAATACTAAATCAATTTTTAAATAAACCGTCTTTGTAGCTTTCTTATAGTAATAATTTATTGGAGAAATTCATTTGAGACAAATAACCACTTTAAAGTAAACAAGTCAGCGGTACTTAATACATTCATAATGTGTAACCACAAAGTCTCTCTAGTTTCAACTTATTTCTATAACTGCAAAGCAAAATCCATTATTCATTAAGCAGTTTCTCCCCACTTTTCCCTCCCCAAAACCTCTGGCAACCACCAATCTGGGTCTGACTCTATGGATTTAACTTTTCTGGATATTTTATATAAATGAAACCCCAAAATATGTGGCCTTATTTTATTTTTTTGAGACAGAGTCCTGCTCTGTCCTCAGAGCAAGAGTGCAGTGGCATCATAGCAAACTCAGACTGGACTTGAGTAATCCTCTTGCCTCAGCCTCCCAGGTAGCTAAGACTATGGGTGCACATTACATCTAGCTAATTTTCCTATTTTTTGTAGAGACAGGCTCTTGATCTTTTTTTTTTCTTTTGGAGACAGATTCTCAAGCTATAAACCTGGATAGAGTGCCATGGGACTGCAGGTGACTGCTACAACGCCCAGCTATTTTTGTTGTTGTTACAGTTGTCATTGTTGTTTTAGCTGGCCCAGGCCAGGTTCAAACCTACCAGCCTCGGTGTTATGTAGCCAGCACCCTACCTACTGAGCTACAGGCGCCACCACAGACTCTTGCTCTCAGGCTAGTCTCAAACTCCTGGCCTCAAGTAATCCTCCCAGTTCAGTTTCCCAGAGTGCCAGGATTACAGGCAAGTGCCACCATGCCCTCAATGACCTTTTATTTTTTTTCTCTCTTCTTTCACTTAGCATACTTTCAAGGATCATCAAAAAAATTATCAGATACTTCATTCCTTTTAATGACTGAAGAAAAAATATGTATCTGTGATAGAAAGTATTCGTAAAAAGGATTAGAAAGCTTAATGTATCTAGTGTTTTTCCTTTGTCTTCAGAAATTTTTAGAAATTTAACTTAAAAATTCCTTATTTTTCAGAATCATTGTTGATCTACATCTTCACTAGAAGAGAAAGGAAATTGTGTTCTTTTGTTGGCTGAACTAAAATCTACTCCTGCTGTCCAAAGGTTTTAGAACTCATTACAAGAAAGAAGCACAACACAAAATTCCATATCCAACTGGATTAAAAAAAATTTAAAGAAACAGGTTCTGTCAATGATAAGCCATAGTCTGGTAGGCCACGTGTTAGTGAAGAAACTGTAGCATCCATAGAAGAAACCTTTGAGAGAAGTCCAAGAAAGTCATTAAGATGGGCATTACTTGAGCTGAAGCTTTCAAGTCTACTATGCATAAGATTCTATGGACAAGACTTCACATGAAAGTATACACATTGAGCCACAGGCACTGCCCCTACACATGAAAGCATACAAATTTGAGTGCATCAAATGTTATTAGAATAGGATTATCATGCAAAACTTTCTGTCACCAGTTCAAGGAAAAACTTATCAACAATGATGCATTTTTGAATAACTTAATGTTCTCCAATGAAGCAACATTCTACCTTAGTGGCAAGGTCAACAGGTATAATTGCCTTATTTGGGGAAATGAAAATCGACATGAGTCTGCTGAACATGAAAGAGGTTCTCCCAAAGTTAATGTATGATGTACTTTGGGAAAAAAGCAAGTCATAGGGCCATTCTTTTTTGAAGGGCATGTTGTTAATGGTGATAGCTATTTAGTAATGCTGCAAAATTATTTCATTCCTCAGTTTGAACAATTAGGACTCCTTGTCACTTTGCTTTGCATATTAGACAGTTTCTACATGAGAAATTCCCTAACAGGTAGATTGGAAGAGATAGACCATTTTCTTAGCCTCTATGTTTGCCAGATTTGACTCCACTGGATTTCTGTTCACATGGACATTAAAACCAACATATGGAAAAAATTTACAGTAGAGAATTACAATTATGTAATCTGAAAGATAGATATTTTTGGGATACGCCTATTTCTTACATAAGTTTAAATAGGAGTCAGAAATGAAATGGGTAAACTTAATGAATTAAGAGAAATCACAAGAGTGATTAGAAAAGACTTCAATTGCAATTATGGTCATATGATAAAGCATAGGAAATAAAACTCATTTATTGGTAAAGCTTTAGGTACACTTCCATTTTTAAAAATCTCAAACAGTATTCATAAAAGTTTACTTACTACTACTTTTTTTTTTGAGACAGAGTCACAAGCTGTCGACCTGGGTAGAGTACTATGCTGTCACAGCTCACAGCAACCTCCAACTCTTGGGCTTAAGCAATTCTCTTGCCCAGCCTCCCAAGTAACTGGGACTACAGGTGCCTGCCACAACACTCGGCTATTTTTTGGTTGTAATTGTCATTGTTTGGCAGGCCCAGGCTGAATTCGAACCTGCCAGCTCCCGTGTACATGGCTGGTTCCCTAGCCGCTGAGCTACAGATGCCCAGCCCTACTTTTTTATTTTTTAAAAAACTAAAATCTGCAGAGAGTAAATCCTTAAGTCTTTTTTTTTTTTTTTGAGACAGTTTCATTCTGTTGCCCTCAGTTGAGTGCTTTGACATCATATGACATCATAGCTCACAGCAACCTCAAACTCTTGGGCTCAAGAGATTCTCTTGCCTTGGGACTACATGCACCTACCACAACACCCAGCAATTTTTAGAGATGGGGTCTTGTTCTGTCTCAGGTTGGTCTTGAACTTGTGAACTCAAGCAATCCACCCATCTTGGCCTCCCAAGTGTGAGATTACAGGCGTTGAGCCACAGCACCCAGACTACCTTAAGTCTTCATCTACGTATTGATTAGCACATGTGGGTAAGGAAATGGCCTGAAGTCTGGAAAAAGAACCAGCCCAAAGGATTAGAGGGGGTAACAATCCCTGAAGCTCAAAGCTAGGAATGGTTTCCATCTCAATCAGCCAGACTGAATAACTCATCACTTAAGTAGCAGTAGGCAGAGTAATCAGAAAAGTCTGTGTCTATAGGGCAAATTTATTTATTTACTTACTTATTTTCAATACTGGAACTAAAGGCATGCACCACTACAAAAGGCATGTATCACCACACCTGGTTAATTTTTTCTATTTTTAGTAGAGACAGGAGTCTCATTTTTACTCAGAGTAGTCTCAAATTTCTGGCCTCAAGTGGTCCTCCCACCTCCACCTCCCAGAGTACTAGGATTACAGGCATAGGCCACCAGAGGCCAGCCAGAATAATTATTTAAATACTGCTCTGGTCCTGCCTAACAAAGATTAAAACAAGATCCAAAGGGATCAATCTATTCCCAAGTAATTTAACCGCATCAAAAAACAAACCTGAAGAATACTTACAGGAATACAAAAATATCTCTACAAGGCAAAATTTATAAATAACAAGAATCCAATCAAAAATTACCAGTTTTGGCTTGGCACCTGTAGCACAGTGGTTACAGTACCCACCACATACACCAGGGCTGGAGGGTTCAAACCTAGCCCGGACCTGATAAGCAACAATGACAACTGCAACAGAAAAATAACCGGGCATTATGGTGGGCACCTATAGTCCCAGCTACTCAGGAGGCTGAGGCAAGAGAACTGCTGAAATCCAAGAGTTAGAGGTTGCTGTGAACTATGACGCCACAAGAGTTAGAGGTTGCTGTGAGCTATGACGCCACAGCACTCTACCAAGGGGGTCACGGTGAGACTGTCTCAAAAAAAATTAGCAGTTTATTCAGTAGTCAGAAAAGAAGGAAAATAGGAACCATGAAAAGGGAGCCAGGTGTTGTGGGAGCTTAAGCCCAAGAATTTGGGCTGTAGTCTCAGCTACTTGGGAGGCTGAGGCAAGAGAATCACTTGAGCCCAAGAATTGGGAGGTTGGAGGTTGCTGTGAGCTGTGACACCACAGCACTCTACCGAAGGTGACAAAGTGAGACTCTGTCTCCAAAAAAACAAAAAAAGAAAAGAAAAGAAAATGCAAAAGATCCACATTTGGGAAACTTAACCTACCTATTTCAAGCTTTACCATAAACCTACATAATCAGAGCACTGTGGTACTGGTGTAATGACAAATAGATCAATGGAATAGGGAATCCAGAGATAGAATGCCTATCAACAAAAGTACAAAGGTGAGCTAGTGGAGAAAAGACAATCTTTTCAATAAATGATGTTGGAATAACTAGCTCTCCCTGTGTAGAAAAATTAACATAATCTACAG